AATGGCAATTGATAATTCCGTTAACTCCCCGGCAACGGCGCCAAAATTTGATCACGCCCAACTATGCCTTATAAAAAGGACTCTGCGGACGTTGCAAATATAACCCGAGTATTACGCCCAGGGTCGAATCCACAGAGAGTTAACCTATCAACCACTATCTTCAGACCCATTAATTCTTCAGAACCAGCTTCCCAAATATTCAAATCTCAGTTGAATGTTCTTTAACAACTACGCTTGCAAGTAACTAAATAACTGTAAACTAAACTAATAAGGTTGTAAACAATTATGATAAAAAGCTAAGGCAATGATTTCCCTTATTGATGGAATCCCTTCTGTTTATGCTCATACAAATTTACCAATACATCTCTATCGATCATGAACGCTAATCTTACCGTAAATCCCTCCCGAGTAATCACAGTAATTTACTATTGCACTCTCCCGAGATACACTAGCTTACTTTATTTAGCACGATTCACTTTAGATTAGACCCAAGGCTTCGTTATCCCTAATCCCGCCTTTAAACCCGCAATTATAGATTCCTCTAATAATCTAGGAGTGGTGTTGTTCAACAATACCCTAAATATGCACTCTTTTCCAAGTTATGCACACTAAATAGGCACAGCTAATTGAGGATCCTGTCAATTAACTACAACAAACACGAAGTTGAACAAATAGAGATTAAACTAGCAATTTGTATTCACATAAACAAGAAGTTCATCACCCAATAGGTTCCATCAAAACCTTAGACAAGGAATTTAGCTACTCATGGCTATGGGAAAATAAATTAAGATAGAATCATCATAACTAGCTATAAAAATCAAGGAAAAGAAGAAAGATGTTTTGGGTGATCTCTCACAATTATTTTCCTTGCCAAGATACTCTAAAATTCAATACATGCCTCTCTTGGGCGAAGTCTAATGTTTTAAATAGGGTTTAGGTCTAAAAATCCCGTGTTTTGCACTTTAGTCCATGAAGTTTTCTGCTTCCGCCGCGGTTCTGCCGCGGTCGCGGTGAAACCGCGGCCAAATGCCTTCTCTGAATCTGAATTTATCCGCAGCTATCTTCCACCGCGGTTCTACCGCGGTCGCGGTGGAACCGCGGTCAACCTAGTCCTCTGAATCTTCAGGCCTGTTTTGCGAGGTTTACTTGGGGAATTTCACAGTTGGCCTCTTTTTCTTCATTTTTGACTCCAAAAATACTCCCTAGCCTTCCCTGATCATATATCACCTGTAAATCATGAAAAGCACTAATAAGAGCATTTTGTTATCACTTTTCTCATCAAAACTATACAAGAAAGTGGTTATTTAAGGTGTGATTATAGTCAAATTTACCTATCATCACAAAGCAAGCATGTAGGCCACCTCCCCAAATCTCCTAAGTATCTCAAAAGGACCAATGAACCGTGGACTCAACTTTCCTTTCTTTCCAAATCTCATAACGCTCTTCATAGGCGAAACCTTCAACAAGACCTTCTCGCCCACCACGTAGGATACGTTTCGAACCTTCCGGTCCGCATAACTCTTCTGACGCGACTGAGTTGTACGAAGTCTCTCCTGGATCACTTTCACCTTCTCTAAGGCATCCTGAACCAACTTTGTCCCCAATAGTCTAGCCTCACCGGGCTCAAACCAACCAACCGGAGACCTACACCGTCTCCCATATAAGGCCTTATACGGTGCCATCTGAATGCTGGACTGATAGCTGTTGTTGTACG